TTAAGAGGAAAATTCATTGCATGGAGTTCATTCCTTAAAAGAAGAAAAAGCCAACAAATAAATTACCTCACACTACATCTCAAAGCCCTAGAAAAAGAAGAACAAATCAGCAGCAAAAGCAGAAGGCAAGAAATAATTAAAATCAGAGTTGAAATCAATGAAATTGAAACAAAGGAAACAAATGAAAAAATTGACAAAACTAAAAGTTGGTTTTTGGAAAAATAAATAACATTGACAGACCCTTAGCCATGCTAACAAAGAGAAGGAGAGAGAGAAGCCAAATTTCTAGCATATGAGATGAAAAAGTCAATATCACAACAGACACTACAGAAATACAGAAGATAATTAGAAATTATTTTGCAACCTTATACTCTAATATAATAGAAGATAGTGAAGGCATCAGTAAATTCCTAAATTCTAATTCTAATATAATAGAAGATAGTGAAGGCATCAGTAAATTCCAGATTGAGTCAGGAAGATATACACAACTTAAACAGACCAATGTCAAGTGAGGAAATAGAAGAAGCCATCAAAAGATTACCAACCGGGCTGGGGATGTGGCTCAAGCGGTACCGCGCTCGCCTGGCATGCGTGCGGCCCGGGTTCGATCCTCAGCACCACATACCAACAAAGATGTTGTGTCCGCCGAAAACTAAAAAATAAATATTAAAAAATTCTCTCTCTCTCTCTCTTTAAAAACAAAATATTAAAAAAAAAAAAAAAAAAAAAAGATTACCAACCAAGAAAAGCCCAGGACCTGATGGATATACATCCGAGTTTTACAAGACCTTTAAAGAACTATTACCAATACTCTTTAATCTATTTCAGGAAATAAAAAAAGAGGGAGTACTTCCAAATTCATTCTATGAGGCCAATATCACCCTGATTCCAAAACCAGACAAAGATACTTCAAAGAAAGAAAACTTCAGACCAATATCTCTAATGAATAGATGCAAAAATCCTCAATAAAATTCTGGCAAATTGAATACAAAAACATATCAAAAAGATCGTGCACCATGATCAAGTGGGATTCATCCCAGGGATGCAAGGTTGGTTCAACATAGAGAAATCAATAAATGTAATTCATCACATCAGTAGACTTAAAGATAAGAACCATATGATCATCTCAACAGACGCAGAAAAAGCATTTGACAAAATACAACACCCCTTTATGTTCAAAACACTAGAAAAACTAGGGATTACAGGAACATATTTCAATATTATAAAGGCTATCTACACTAAGCCTCAGACCAACATCATTCTAAATGGAGAAAAACTGAAGGCATTCCCTCTAAAATCTGGAACAAGACAGGGATGCCGTCTCTCACCACTTCTATTCAACATAGTTCTTGAAACACTGGCCAAAGCAATAAGATGAAAGAAATTGAAGGAATAACTACAGGAAAAGAAGAACTTAAACTAGCACTATTTGCTGATGATATGATTCTATACCTAGAAGACCCAAAAAACTCCACCAGAAAACTTCTAGAACTAGTAAATGAGTTCAGCAAAGTGGCAAGATATAAAACCAACACCCATAAATCAAAGGCATTTCTGTATATCAGTGACATATCCTCTGAAAAGGAAATGAGGAAAACTACACCATTCACAATATCCTCAAAAAAAAAAAAAATAAGATACTTGGGAATTAACTTAACAAAAGAGGTGAAAGATCTATACAATGAAAATTACAGAACATTAAAGAGAGAAATCGAAGAAGACCTTAGAAGATGGAAAGATCTACCTCGCTCATGGATAGGCAGAATTAATATTATCAAAATGAACATACTACCAAAAGCACTATATAGATTCAATGCAATTCTGATCAAAATCCCAATGGCATTCCTCATAGAAATAGAAAAAGCAATCATGAAATTCACCTGGAAAAATAAGAGACCAGAATAGCTAAAGCAATTCTAAGCAGGAAGCGTAAAACAGGTGATATCGCTGTAACACACCTTAAACTATACTACAGAGCAATAGTAACAAAAACAGCATGGTACTGGCACCAATGATACTGGTAGACCAATGGTACAGAATAGAGAACACAGAGACTAACCCACAAAATTACAATTATCTTATATTAGACAAAGGAGCCAAAAGCATGCACTGGAGGAAAATAGCCTCTTCAACAAATGGTGCTGGGAAAACTGGAAATCCATATGCAACAAAATGAAATTGAATCCCTATCTCTCACCATACACAAAAGTTAACTCAAAATGGATCAAGGATCCAGGAATTAAACCAGAGACTCTGCGTCTAATAGAAGAAAAAGTAGGCCCTAATCTTCATCACGTGGGGCTAGGCCCCAACTTCCTTAATAAGACACCTATAGCACAAGAATTAAAACCAAGAGTCAACAAATGGGATGGATTCAAACTAAAATGTTTTTTCTCAGCACAAGAAATAATATGTGAGGTGGACAGGGAGCCTACCTCCTGAGAGCAAATCTTTACCCCTCACACATCAGATAGAGCACTAATCTCTAGGGTATATAAAGAACTCAACAAGCTAAGCACCAAAAAACCAAATAATCCAATCAATAACTGGGCCAAGGACCTGAACAGACACTTCTCAGAAGAGGATATATAATCAACAAATATATGAAAAAATGCTCATCATCTCTAGCAATCAGAGAAATGCAAATTAAAACTACTCTAAGATACCATCTCACTCCAGTCAGAATGGCAGCTATTATGAAGACAAACAACAACAAGTGTTGGTGAGGATGTGGGGGAAAAGGTACACTCATACTTTGCTGGTGGAACTGCAAATTGGTGCAGCCAATTTGGAAAGCAGTATGGAGATTTCTTGGAAATCTGGGAATGGAACCACCATTTCACCCAGCTATTCCTCTTCTTGGTCTATATCCAAAGGACCTAAAAACAGCATACTACAGGGACACAGCCACATAAATGTTTACAGCAGCACAATTCACAATAGCTAAACTGTGGAACCAACCTAGATGTCCTTCAGTGGATGAATGGATAAAAAAAATGTGGCATATATACACAATGGAATATTACTCAGCACTAAAAAAAGAACAAAATCATGGCATTTGCAGGTAAATGGATGGCGTTAGAGAAGATTATGCTAAGTTAAATTAGCTAATCCCCAAAAAAACAAATGCCGAATGTTTTCTCTGATATAAGGGTGGTGACTCAAAGAGGGTTAGGGAGGGAGAGCATGGGAGGAAGATTATTTCTAGATAGGGAAGAGGGGTGGGAGGGAAAGGGAGGGGGAAGGGGAATAGCAAGGATGGGGGAATGTGATGGTCATCATTATACAAAATACATGTATGAAGATTTGAATTTGGTGTCAACATACCTTATATATAACAGAGATATGAAAAATTGTCGTGTATATGTGTATTAAGAATTGTAATGCAAAAAAAAAGAATATATGTATGATGGCATAATGTGGTGTTATCATACTTTATATACAGAGTTACAAAAAACTGTGCTGTATATGTGTAATAATGAGTGTAATGCATTCCACTATTGTCATATGTTTTAAAAAATACCGATAAAAAGGTCATGACTACTTCTATTTCTCTATTTTTGATTTTATAATATAAAGTAGTATTTTTAAAACCTGTCTGCTTTTCAGAATAACCTGGGAAGTTCTTCAAAATAGAGATTCCCAGATCCCTCCCTCAGACATTTTAATTCAGTAGGCCTGAGATAGGGCCTAAGAATCTATTTCTTTGAAATGTCCTTAGGTGATTGTTATATACTGCCAGATCTGAGGATCACTGCAGTAAAGTACAAGGAATGAAAAGAAAAATGTTTTCAAGCAAACCAAGAATGTAGGACTATTACTCTTTACCACTTACTAGCTATTAGCCTATGAAGGGTCATTAGATATAGAATCAAAGAGTAAGCAGTGAATAATGGAAAAAGTTGAAAACTGGTGCAAAAGGTTATATAGATATACCTACATGATTATAACTCTCTAATGCTAATAGTCAATATTAGTGCTTTTACACAGAAATATTTATAAGTATTTGTTTTACTAGAAAAAGCATGAGTGGAAAATGTGTTATTTTTCTGTTTTAACATACCTATAGGGAGCTTCACTGTACTGAAAGATCATTGAAAGCACCACTATCCAAAATATCAGCCTAGATATATTGATGGGATACTATCTAGGAAGAAACAAGCAGCCAACAAAAAGCCTTTTGAGTGTTCCAAACCCACACCTATACAGGTTCAGAAAAACTTTTAGCAGCTATCTAAACAAATGATTATCAATTTCCCTTCACTATTCATTAACTTATTAACAGTTTTCTGCTAGTCAGTTCAGTTGGCAAATATAGTCAGAGAAGACAAACAGGGACAGACAGTTGTCCCTGGGGAAGGAAGCATCCCAGGAAAAGTCACCTCTTTTGCAACTGTTCTATAGCTTGCCCTGTGTATGTAATTCAAAATTATATATACATTATTTAAGTTCTGTCAAGCTTTGCTGGGTATCATGGCACATGCCTATAATCTTAGCAACTTGGGAGGCTGAGGCAAGAAGGATCCCAATTTTGAGGCCATCCTCAGCAACTTAGCAAGACCCTGTCTTAAAATAAAAAGGGCTCAGGATAGAGTTTAGTGGTATAGCCCCTGAGTTCAATCTGTAGTACAAAAGAAAAAAAAAGTTTTGTCAGGCTTTGTTTAGTGCCTTATCTTTGAATATCTGAAACATTATTTTCTATTTAAAAGCATTTCATATTTAAAAATTATATTAAATAGCTACTTATATTAATATTTGGTCATTCTGAGCCATATTGTATTTTACCTTCATTTTGACTGAACTTCATTTTACTGTTATAAAGCAGCAAAAATAATAATGATGCTCTTCAAGATAAGAGCATTATGGGGGAAAAGTAATGCTTTGAAGAATGCATCTCACCAACTCATGCAAAGACAATTTATATTGTTATATATCACTTCATAATTGGACATTATATGATATTTTAAGGTCTTCTAAGAATGAAAATAACCATAACTAACCTTTAAGATCTGGGTATTCTAGGTACCTAAAAGTAATGAGAATGAAGAGTTGGATCAGCACAATCAGCACAAAAAGGACCCGGGCCTGCAGAGAAAAAAGATGTTAGTGTGACTAGATACATGGGGATAGCTCCAGTGAACACTTTAAAACTGGCCTCATTAACAAAAATGGAAATGACATCTGTGATATTGTGATATAATAAGAAATATGAGGGCTGGGGTTGTGGCTCAGAGGTAGAGTGCTCGCCTGGCACGTGCAAGGCCCTGGGTTCAATCTTCAGCACCACATAAAAATAAATAAAATAAAGGTATTTTGTCCAACTAAAAAAAATTAATATTCAAAAAAAGAAATATGAATTTTAGTTTTCATCTTGGCCACAGCTCCTAAAACCCTTGTGATTTTTCAAATGGTAGCAGAAAAAAATAAAGCATCTTTTGTTATATTTGGCTTTTGTCTGTAGTTCTTGGACAAGCTCTGGAATGATAAATAAAAGGAGTGTCTTCTGTGATTAATAACAAGCCTATTTCAATCACACCTGAGTTCATGTTAATAAGGGAACTTTTAAAAAGCCCTTAAGGATGGGGGCTGGTTATAATGTGGGCCAACCATGTGATCACATCACCCCCATCCTTTCCCTCCAGAGAGGGGAGAGAGGTTGTAAGTTGAATTAATCACCAATAGCCAATGATTTAAACAATCATGCCTACATAATAAAACCTCCATAAAAACCCTAACTGAAGGAGTTCAGAGAGCTTCCCAGGTTGGTGAATACATGGAGGTGCTGGGAAAGTGGCATGTGTTTGGGGAGAGCATGGAAATTCACAACCAACCCTCATAACTTGCCTTGGCATCTCTTCCATTTGGCTCTTCCTGAGTTGTATTCTTCTCTTATAAGCCAATAATCTAGTAAGTAAAGGGTTTTCCTGAATTCTGGGAGGCTTTCTAGCAAACTTTTGGACCTGAGGAAGGAAGCCGTGGGAACCTCTAATTTATAACCAGTTGGTCAGAAGCACAGGTGACATCTGGACTTATGATTGGTATTGGGGATGGTGGGTGGTGAGGAGGGCAGTCTTCTAACATTAAGCTCGCAACCTGTGGAGTCTGTGCTAACTTCTAGCAGTTAGTGTCAGAATTGTGTTGAACTGTATAAGGCCCATTCAGTGTCCACTGATATTGGAAAATTATATGGTTTAGAAAAATTCACACATTTAGTTTTAGAAATGTTGTATAATTATAGAGAGAAAAGCAAATTTCATGCGGAGTGTCATGGTGCACGCCTGTAATCCTAGTGGCTTGGGAGGTTGAGGCAGGAGGATTTTTAGTTCAAAGCCAGATTCAGCAAAAGTGAGATGCTAAGCAACTCAGAGAGACTCTGTTTCTAAATAAAATACAAAATAGCTGGGAATGTGGCTCAGTGATCAAGTGCCCCTGAGTTCAATCCTTGGTACCAAAACAAAAAAAAAAAGAAAGAAAGAAAGAAAAAAGAAAAGCAAGTTTCTTTTTTTCTTTCAGCATCATTAAACGATTATAAGAAAAATATAGGTAGCCAGGTTCAGTGGCTATAATCCCAGCAATTTAGGAGTCGAGGCAGGAGGATCATAAATTCAAGGCCAGCCTCAGCAACTTAGCTTCTAAGACCTTCAGTAACTTAGTAAGCAACTAAGACCTTCAGTAACATAGTAAGAACCTGTCTCAAACTAAAAAATAAAAAAGACTGGGGATGTTGCTCAATGAAAAAGTACCCCTGGCTCCTGGTTCAATCCCCAATACCCTCTCCAAAAAAAAAAAAAAAAAAAAAAAAAAAAAATATATATATATATATATATATAATACACACACACATATTAAAGAGAATCAAACATCTGATACAATGATAAAGAAAATTGTAAGTTGCCTCAGTTTAAATTGGAGATAAGTAGTTTATATAGTTATATTAAACTATCAAATTAAAATAGTTCACTTTCATTATATGAAGATAAAAATAATTTGTTTTATTTAAAGTTGCATATGGGAGTTAGGGTTGTGGCTCAGTGGTAGTGTGCTTGCCTAGCATGCATGAGGCAATACATCCTGAGATAGCTTTAGAGGACACACCCTCACAGACTTAAAATGTGAAATTATTTTTGTTTTTATTACTTGTGTGATTGAGTTTTTAAGAAATGTGATAAATGGGCATTTATATTTCATTACTATCATTATAGGGGTCATTTTAAAATTTTTCTTTGGAAGATTTTTTATAGTCACCTAGATCAGGCTTGATGTAGTAGAGGGAAAATTTGGAAACAAATGTCTCCTAATAGGCAAGTAGTTATATATACTAAGGAAAATCTTAATTTATCTAACTAAGGCATACCTCTATTTAGCCACTTGTCCAAAATACCTTAACAAATTAAGGTCTTTATTCATACAATAATGTATATCTTAACATAATACAACTAATATCACATTATAAAATAATGTAGTCAGGCAAAGAGGTATGCATCTGTAATCCCAGCTACTAAGGAGGCTAAGGCAGGAGAATTGCTTGAGCCCAGGAGTTCAATTCCAGCCTGGGTAACATAGCAAGATCCCATAAAAAAAGAAAAACATATAAATTGATATGAGAAATAGTCAAAACAAATTCCTCAATGGGAAAAAATCAGATAGCAAAAAAGAACAAATGTATACTAGAGGGGCTGGGGATATAGCTCAATGATAAAAGCCTTGCCTAGCCTGCACAAGGCCCTAGGTTTAATCACCAGTACCACCAAAGGAAAAAAAATCACATTTTACTTTAAAGACTCATATACAAGCATATAACAATACAATGGTTATAATGAACAGTGGGATGAAAATGATGTAGAGTTGATCCTTCTTTTTTTCTTAATTTTCCAATTTTCCACATTATTTTTTCTTTTAAAGGAACTTCACAATTTTTTTTTGAGAGAGAGAGATTTTTTTTAATGTTTATTATTTATTTTATTTTTTAGTTCTCAGTGGACACAACATCTTTATTTCATTTTTTGTGCTGCTGAGGATCGAACCCAGCGCCCTGCGCATGCCAGGCGAGCGTGCTACTGCTTGAGCCACATCCCCAGCCCTCCACATATTTTTTTTAAAAAAGAAATATTCTTTTAAAAGCCTTAATTCTGGATTGGGTGTGTGGCTCAGTGGTAGAGTGTTTGCCTAACATAAACGAGGCCCTAGGTTCAATTCCCAGCATGGTACAAACAAATAATTAAAATCAAAATAATACACAAAAATTATTATCATTAGTAGTATTAGTAGTAATGAATAATTAAACTTAAAAGCTTTAATTCAGATCAGCACCTATAATTTCCTTAGTCATCCTGGTTGTATGGCATTGATTAGAACTAGGTACTAAATTACTTGTTCATGTCTCTACTTCTTTTGATTCAAATCAACTTAAAATCATTTTATTCTTCTAGACAAATAACTAAACTTTAATTTTACGAGGCTCTACTTTCTTTATACATGATTATATTATTTACAACTTTGAGTTTACCAAATCCAATAAAAATACATGTAACATTTAATTGAATTCACTTACCACCATGCAGTGGTCAGTAAGGAGAATAAATGATGCCAGGGGATTAAATGTGAGATGAATATTCTCTTGAACAGAAAATATGTGGTGAACACTCGTACTTCTTCCAGCAGAATCCTAGTTATAAGCACAGCAGAGAAGTGACTTCATACACATATATATATATATATATATATATATATATATATATATATATATATAAAATGTTCTAAATTGTGCACATAACTGACAAGAGAGTTTGCAATAACTTTTATCAGTTATCTTGTTGAATAGCTACCTTTTTTTATCACTTACTTTTGATTCTCTGTATAAGTGCTTTTGACAGCATTTTATTTTATTTATTTATTTATTTTTAGAGAGAGAGAGAATTTTTTAATCTTTATTTCTTAGTTTTCGGCGGACACATCTTTGTTTGTATGTGGTGCTGAGGATCGAACCTGGGCCACACGCATGCCAGGCAAGCGCACTACCGCTTGAGCCACATCCCCAGCCCCTTGACAGAATTTTAGATCCTTTTTTTTTAGAGAGAGAGAGAAAGAGAGAGAGAATTTTTTTAATATTTATTTTTCAGTTTTCAGCGGACACAAGATCTTTGTTTGCATGTGGTGCTGAGGATCGAACCCGGGCCACACGCATGCCAGGCGAGCGCGCTACCTCTTGAGCCACATCCCCAGCCCTGTACTTTTATTTTTAAAGAAATCTTTTTCCCTCTGTTCACCGAAAAGGCCCAGTAGTAATAATAAACCTATAAAAGCAATGAGCTAGCAGAACTAGTATAGACTCTTAAAAAAGCATTTTTCACTAAAAGGAAGCAGTGTTTCTTAGAAAAATGGCTGATTCCAGGTTTTGAGTAAGAAATGAAGAAGAACTTAGAATATCTTGTTATATCAGAAACTAAAAAAAACTAATTAAGAATACTAGGATTGTGTCAAAGAACTTAGAGGTCAACATGAAGAAGCTCCCACTAGCCAAACATGGACCAATTTGAGTATCAAAAGAATAAATGCAATGGATTGAAACATCAAATAGGGGCTGGGGTTGTGGCTCAGTGGTAGCGCACTTGCCTAGCATGCGTGAGGCACTTGGTTCGATTCTCAGCACCACATACAAATAAATAAAATAAAGGTCCATCAACAACTCAAAAATATTAAAAAAAAGAAACATCAAATAAGTAAACATATATAAATAAATATCTAAATATGTATACATTTTAGGCTCAGAATTCATAATGATACAAAAAGTAAATGATTCCCCTTAGTGACCTTTGGCAGATGCTAAAGAATTAACTCATTATTCTGAAAAATGGTTTAGAAAAGTGGGGTATGGGAAAGAATCAAGAATTTATCCTGTATTTTTCTTATGAACTCCATATCTAGGAACTAAATAGATGAGGGAATTTTTTTCCTTTGTAAGACTATTCTGATTAATACTTCTATCATACAGAGAAAGATTTGAATATCACCATTTTATAGCTAAAGAAAAAAATGAAACTTGGCAAAAGTCATTGATGGCTGCTAAAACCCCTTAGATGAAAAATTGATGGAGATTTTTACGAGGCTCTACTATATATATATTTGTTAGCAGTGTGTTAGAGGTGGCTTCACTGGCTTACGAGGGCCAACTGTTAAATTTTTAGGAAATTTTATGGGCTACTTAGCATTATGTTGGTATCTAAAACCAATCATGGTAGGAATATTTATACTATGAAAATTGGCACCTCCATAACCTATCTCAAGTTGGTTGTTAAATATTTGCCAGCGCACTATTAGATAAGGGTACAAACACTAGAATGTACTGATCAATGTCAGTGTTACAAAAAGAGACAACCAAGTATTATAGGCATCCTGATAAAAGCACAAAACATCTATTGAAGTAGTCTTGTCAAAAAACAAGACTCATATCTTATCACACTTCTAAATCTACCTACTAGTTATAGAAACTGTTGGGGTAGGCAAAAGAATATGTTAAATGATACCAAAAGGATACAAACAGTAAAAATTCTGAAGAAACTTTATAGGACCAAAGATCCAGATTCCAAAGCAAACACATTGTAAAGGAAAAAAAAAGGGGGGGGGGCATAGGGAGAAACCTACAGAGTAAAAGAGATGGCAGAAACAACTCAGTTTTCAGTGTATGACCCTTGTCTAGATTCTCAGTTGAACCAAACGAATGGATGTATGTGTAACAAATTGGAGAAAACAGAATACTATTAACTTTTTCAGGGGTGATACAGTATCATGGTTGTGTTTTTAAACAGTCTTTATCTTTTAGTAATTTATACTGGACATATTTATACATGAAATACCATGGTGCAGGGAGGGGAGAAGTAGATAAGAGTATAGGCGAACAAGATCAATAATGAGCTGATAATTGTTGAGATGTGCTGATAGAGTCACAGAGTTCATTAGAGTATTATTTTTTTAAATTTGTTCTTTTTAGATATACATTATAGTAGAGAGTACTTTGACATATTATGCATACATGAAGCATAACTTATTCTAATTAGGATCCCATTCTTGTGGTTGAACATGATGTGGAATTACACTGGTCGTGTATTCATATACAAATGTAGTAAAGTTATATCTGATTAATTCTACTCTTTCTTATTCTCCTCCCGCTCCCTTCCCTTCTTTCCCCTTTGCTTAATCCAACAGATTTCTATCTGCCCCTCCTCAACTTCCCTTGTTGTGGATTAGCATCTACATATCAGAGAGAACATTCGGTCTTTGTTTTTTTGGGGATTGGCTTATTTCACTTAGCATGATATTCTCCAGTTCCATCCATTGACTGGCAAATGCCATAATTTCATTCTTCTTCAAGATAGAGTAATATTCCATTGTGTGTACATTGATGTGGCTGCATCACTGTAGTATGCTGATTTAAACTTCTTTGGATATATATGGAGTGGCATAAATGGGTCAAATGGTAGTTCCATTCCTAGTATTTGTTTACTTATTTGTTCTTTTTAGGTATACATGGCAGTAGAGTGTATTTTTATATATTACACATATATGGAATATAAACTATTCTAATTATGATCCCATTTTTGCAGTTGTATGTGATGTGGAGTTTTGCTGGTCATGTATTCATATAAGAACATAGAAAAGTTATGTCTGATTCATTCTACTGTCTTTCCTGTTCCTCTCCCTGATCCCTTCTCTTCAATGCCCTTTGTCTAATCCAATGAATTTATATTCTCCCTGCCCTCCCCACACCCAACTTCTTGTGTGTTAGTATCCACCTATCAGACCATTTCTAGTTTTCTGAGGAATCTCCCTACTGCTTTCCAGAGTGGTTGCATCAATTTGCAGTCCCACCAGCAATGTATAAGTGTGCCCTTTTCCCCACATCCTCACCAACATTTATTGTTGCTTGTATTCTTGATTGTTGCCATTCTGAGTGGAATGAGATGAAATCTCAGTGTAGTTTTAATTTGCTTTTCTCTAATTGCTAGAGATGTTGAACATTTCTTCATATATTTGTTGACCATTGGTATTACTTATTCTGTGAAGTGTCTGTTCAGTTCCTTTGCCCATTTATTGATTGGGTTATTTGTTTATTTGGTGTTAAGTTTATTGAGTTCTCTATATATCCTGGAGATTAATGCTCTATCTGAGCTGCAGGTGGCAAAGATTTTTCTCCTATTCTGTAGGCTCTCTCTTTACACTCTGGATTATTTCCTTTGCCGTGAAGAAGCTTTTTAGTTTGACACAGTCCCATTTATTGATTCTCGCTTTTACTTCTTGTGCTTTCGGAGTCTTGTTGAGGAAATCAGTTCGTAAACCAACATGGTGGAGAGTAGGGCCTACATTTTCTTCTAGTAGGTGCAGGGTCTCTGGTCCAATGCCTAGGTCCTTGATCCACCTTGAGTTTTGTGTAAGGTGAGAGACAGTGGTTAAATTTCATTCTGCTACATTTGGATTTCCAGTTTTCCCAGCACCATTTGCTGAAGGGGCTATCTTTTCTCCAATGTATGTTTATAGTGCCTCTGTCTAGTATGAGATAACTGTATTTATAGGGGTTTATCTCTATGTCTTCTAGTCTGTTCCATTGGTCTTCATGTCTGTTTTGGTGCCAATGCCATGCTGTTCTTGCTACATAGCTCTTTAGTATGATTTAAGGTCTGGTATTGAGATGCCTCCTGCTTCGCTTTTCTTATTGAGGATTTCTTTGGCTAGTTTTTTCAAATGAATTTCATGACTGCTTTTTCTATTTCTATGAAAAACATCAGTGAGATTTTAATAGGAAGTGCATTAAATCTGTATAGCACTTTTGGTAGTATAGCTATTTAAAAAATATATAGTTGTAGATGGACAGAATACTTTTATTTTGTGGTGCTAAGGATTGAACCCAGTGCCTCACATATGCTAGGCAGCACTCTACCACTGAGCTACAGCCTCAGCTCAGTATAGCTATTTTGACAATATTACTTCTGCCTATCCAAGAACATGGGAGATCTTTTCATCTTCTAAGGTCTTCAATGTCTTTCTTTAGTGTTCTGTAATTTTCATTATAGAGGTCTTTCATCTCTTTTGTTAGGCTGATTCCCAAGTATTTCATTTTTTGAGGCTATTGTGAATGGGATAGTTTTCCTAATTTCTCTTTCAGTGGATTCGTCATTGGTGTATAGGAATACAATTGATTTATGGGTGTTAATTTTATATTCCACTACTTTGCTGAATTCATTTATGAGTCATTAGAGTATTATTATATCTTTTATATATTTTAAAAACATTTTCTCATCTTAAAAACTTTAAAAAAACAAAAATGAACTTGTACTGGTGTTTATCAAATTTGTATTGCTCAAAATGAATATACCTTATGATAAATTCTTGTTTTAAAGCTGGGATTTTCTTTCATTTTGAGATATAGAGACTTCTATAATGAAATCTTTAAATTGGCAAAGTAGGCACAACAATTTAAACTACTGGTTCTCAAACATGTGCACATCAGAATTACCTATAGAAAATTTGTTAAAGTAGATTTCTGATTGTTTCATGTTGTTTTTTCCATTGTTTCATGCTGTTTTTGTTTCTTTTCTCTTTAAATAGCATTAACATGTTGCCTAGGGTGGTCTCAAACTCCTGGTCTCAAGTGATCCTCCTGCCTCAGCCTCCCAAGTACCTGGGACTATAGATGCACTCCACCATGCCCAGCTTCCAGAGTTTCTGATTCAGTAAGTTTTGGATAGGACCTGACAATCTACATTTCTATCATGTTTCCAGGTGATATTGATACTACTAATCTATGATTCACATTGAGAATTGATGTAAAGATCTAATTGCTACTAGGTTACCAGGAACCTATACATATTCAAAAAACATAGTGATATAGGTAAAATATTAGATAATAAGTTGATGTTTTTGCTCAATTTCAAATCAGATTTATCAATAGTGCACTATATTTATCAACAGTACATGAATTTTTCCATTAATAAATGGAAAGGAAGAAACCAAGTTTCCTACTTAATATTTAGTAGGTGATGATGATGATCTGCCTCAGCCTCTCGAGCAGCTGTAATTAAAGATGTAGACCACCATGCATGGCTTAATTAGATTTGTCTTGAGCCAGACATGGACTCTGTGTGTGTGAGCTATGAGCATTTGAGGGGAACTGGACTGATGTTGCAGCTCTGACTAGGCCATGCAACTATATGTCCTTTTTGCTCACTCTGCCTTTGATCCCACACAGCACCTAAGATGGGTGTGGTTTTCCAAGATGTCAGTCAATCCGCTGACTGCAAGACATTATCAAGCAACCCCCTGAAACCCAATCTCTTGCTGTATTTGGGTTGAACTTTCTCGAATGTCTTCCCCTCAATAAACAGGATGGTCTCAGGTATGCTCTCTCTTTTGTCTGCCACTCTTGCTTTCCTTGTGGGAGCTGGGGCAGAGGAGCCATCACTGAACCCCAAGAAAAAGGTACTTTCTGTGTCTGTGTGATTATTCAGTGCCAACCCAATTTAACTGGAGTGACCCTGACTAATTCAGTCATGTGTCACAGCAAGATTAAGTTTTTAAGGTTATACTTTAAGAAAACACATTAATGGTTGCCTGGGAGATGAGGATAGAAGGAAGGCAGATAACAAAAGGGCACAAGAAAACTTTCAGGGAAATGTATCATATTGATTATAGTGATGGTTACAGGGATGTATATGTATGTCAAAACTCATGAAATTGTACACTTTAAACATGACATAATTTTCCTATGTACATATATAAATACACTACAGTGAGTCTCATCATCTCGTAAATCCACAAAAATGGAATCCTAGTTAAAATAAGATATATTCCATGCTTTTATAATTATATAAAAATGGATTCTATTGTTATGTATAACCATGAAGTACAATAAAATTTAAAAAGTAGAATTTATTTTACATAAATTATACCTCAATAATGTTGTAAGAAATGTTAAAAATGTGCCAAGTACATGATTTCACTTTTTTTTTTGTGGCACTGGTGATTTCACATTATTAAAAGGATTCAACTAGACAAACAGGTGTTTCAAGAAAATATGAATAATTGTTTTTCTTTATAAAACTACAGAAGCTGAACATCTTATTAAAAAAAAATAATAAGAGAATCTGAAGCAATCCAAGGATTTGGGAACTTTCCATTCCTATAGTGGGCAGTTTTCCTATAGTTATTCCTAGTTCTTCCCCATGACTTAACGATAGGGAATAATTTATTCTAGTTCATGTGTACCTTCAAGCCTCTTTAATCCAACTTCTAATATAAAATATAATAAGAGTTTATTCCCATCCGTCCCTCCTACTTCCTGCCTATTGGTTCTTCCTCCTATATAGAACACTTCAAAGATGGGTGGCAAAGCAAAGTGCCTTCCATTATGCAGACATACAAGTTTTCCCACCTATTAGCAAAGAATAAAACTGCCCATTACATAGAATTATTATGAGGATGAAATAAAAAATCCTAAGTGTCTGGTATCTCCTTAGAAGGAGCTCAACAACAGTTCCTTATGTATGGACCTATTTCTGTGGGGGAAGTAAAAAAAAGATAATAAAGTAATTACATGTATTTTTGAAGTATTATTTGGTGTTTCAAACTGAGACTTAACATTTGAAGACTAAATGGTTAAAAACTGTCAACAAATCATAAAACTGTAGAAATTAAGAATATGAATATTAAAAGAGAACAGCTTATCCCCTGAAGAGTTTGATGAAGCTGCCGCAGTCTGGCTGGGCACAATCAGGAGCCACTTGTCAAAAGAAACTAACTTTATTTTTAGAACCACACAGGCCAAACAAAACAGCCTCTCAGGAAAAACCCTCAGAGCCTCAACTGCCACCACTGGCTTTCCACAAGCCTCTCTCTCCCCCACAAGCTTCTCTCCACCTCCCACAATCCTCCTGCTCTTGAGGCCGATTGGCTGGGTCACGTGGGCGGAGCCTGAAGAGTTTGATGAAGCTATTCTATTTTGGTAACGATTATCACTTTCTATTCTGGTAGATGCTAATGAATTAAGTGTCCCAAATTGAACCAGAATAAGGACAGGCATACTGTTACTGCTTATGCTGACAATGCACATTCCCCAAACAAAAAAGTTACTTTGCAGCATTGAAAATTCTGTGTCCTGGCAAGAGAAATATGGTTTTTGACCTATTCTTTTATCTTGAAATATATCAGGGAATTTACCCCCATTATTTAAAAGCAAAACAAAACAAAAACCCTCTGGCCAAAGTTGGAAGAAAATAAGAGAATGATTCCCCAGGGTTAAAAAAGGGGGGACTGCAGCCAATAAATACATATTCCTCTCATCCTGTAATTCTATCTAATAGAATTACTTCTAAGTGCCTATTTTCAAATATACTAAACAAAGTATATTTTTTAAAGAGAGAGAGAGAGAGAGAGAGAGAGAGAGAGAGAGAATTTTTTAAATATTTATTTATTTTTTTAGTTTTCAGTGGACACAACATCTTTATTTTATTTTTATGTGGTGCTAAGGATCAAACCCAGCACCCCATGTATGCCAGGCGAGCGTGCTACTGCTTCAGCTACATCCCCAGTCCCAACAAAGTATATATATATATATTTTTCAGTTTTCGGTGGACACAACATCTTTATTTTTATGTGGTGCTGAGAATCCAACCCAGCACCCCGTGCATGCCAGGCGAGCGCGTTACCGCTTGAGCCACATCCCCAGCCCGCAACAAAGTATATTTTTAAAAAGTGTTTTGTTTTTTTTAAACTGTTTATCAAACTGAGCTTTTGTACCAATTGACTAAAAACAAATCCACAATCAAGAGTTTACTCTGACAAGAGCCTAATCATTTACATAGCAAATTGAAAATCACTAACTTACCTGGACAATTGCTTCTATGTTATGTGTTCCATTACTGTAGTTTCTGGGGTTCCACTTCAGTATAAAAATAGGACCAGACAAATGAATAGCCTGTCCTAAATTAACTCCATCAATCTTAATGGTGACAGAAGTAATAGAGGATAAGGAAAAGGCCAAGACTCTAAAATGAGAGCACATATAAAAGGCATGTTTTCAGGTAGTTGTCATTATTTTTATAAAGGAGAATAACACTATTGCAACCAGACATTATATAAGTATAGGCAGAAGCATCACGTTGCACAACTGTAGGGGCCACTCATGATCTTGGTTTCTTTCTTGGAGATTTTTGAAGTTGTACAATTCAGCAAACCTACATTGGTGAGAAATTAAGAACTATTCTTTTACTTCTTAGAAAGGAAAATCTTTGACAAATCTAGCTAGGATAGATTCAAAATTCTTTCTGAATAAACTCCTAAAGTTCTGATTTTTTTCTCTTAGGAATAAAATATAGAGTAGGGATCTCAATTTGTCAATCTAATGTCAAGCCTTCATCTACTCATTTGGTTCCCAATGTATTTACCTGGAAGAAGCAAGGTCACAGTCAGGGCTGGCTACCACACTCTATCAAAAACTGTGACTGACAGGTATGATGATTACACACCTGTAATCCATCTACTCGGGAAGCTGTGGCAAAAGGAATGCAAGTTTAAGGCCAGTCTGAGGCAGGAGTATTGCAAGTTTAAGGTCAATCTGAGCAACTTACTTGAGACCCTAACTCAAAGTTTTTTAAAAAGGTGAGGCTGGGGTTGTAGCTTTGTGGTAAAATGCTCTGCATAGACATGGCTGTGAGTTCTATCTCCAGCACCAAAAAAAAAAAAAAAAAAGAATACATATATTCCAATTTCACAAAAATGTAAACAGCTTGGTACCATTTATATAAGATTAACTACTAAATGTTTTTTTAAAATATAGTATCCAATAATGATAAGAAGGTTGTGAATTTGGCACTCATATTGTTTGATAACATTATAAATTTGTATATTTTTTTAAGAGAGAGAGAGAATTTTAATATTTTTTTTTTCCAGCGGACACAACATCTTTGTTTGTATGTGGTGCTGAGGATCGAACTGGGGCCGCACGCATGCCAGGCGAGCACGCTACCACCTGAGCCACATCCCCAGCCCCATAAATTTGTATATGTTTTTAAAAGTGAAGTAACTGGTTACTTGGTACATTGCTGGTGGAAATTTAAAATAGTGTAGCTGCCATGAAAAACAGTATGGTAGCTCCTTAAAAAATTAAACATAGGGGGCTGGGGCTGCGGCTCAGCAGTAGAGCACTTGCCTAGCACGTATGAGGCCCTGGGTTCGAGTCTCAGCACCACATAAAAATAAATAAATAAAATAAAGGTATTGTGTCCAATTACAACTAAAAATATAAATATTTTAAAAATTAAACACAGAATTACCATATGGTTCAGCAATTCCACTTCTGGGTATATATACAAAAGAAGTGAAAGTAGAGACTTGAACAGATATTTATACACTCATGTTCACAGAAGCAATATTCAGTATCATCAAAAAATGATATTAACAGATGAAATATACAAAATGTGGTATATACATACAGTAGAATATTATTAAGTCTTAAAAAATGAAAGAGAGTATTACAAATGCTACAAAATGTATGAATTTTAGGGACATTATTAACTGAAATAAGCCAAAGATGAGGTACATAGAGTAGTCAGATTCACAGGGGTAGTGAGTAGGATGGTGGTTGTTCATCTTACTGTGGGGAAAGTGAAAAGTTACTGTTTAACAAGTGCAGAATTTCAGCTTTAGAAAATGAAAAAAGTTCTAGAGATAGTGATCGTGATTGCACAACAATATGAACATACATAATGCCATTGAATTGTACACTTGAAAATGTGAAATGACATATATTTTACCATTTAAGTAAAAAGTAATCAAGCAATCTTTAGCAACAGCTGTAAAAGAATTCAAATTTTTCACCTAGAATTTCACTTCTGGAACTCAATTATAAAGAAATTATTCAAGTGAAGGAAGAATCTGCATGTACCAGGTGTTTATCCTCAAATAAAAAAAAATCTAAAAGTTCACCAATAAGATGGGGAAACTGTTACATAAATTATGGTACATTCTCAGTGTTGAAAGACAAAAAGTAGGAAGTAGATTAAACCATGCTCTGATGATTAATTAATTATGTAAAAACATGCCTAAGAGGGGCTAAAGCTGTAGCTCAGTGATGAACTGCTTGCCTTGCATGTGTGAGGCACTGGGTTCAATCTTCAGCACTACATAAAAATACATAAAGATACTGTGTGTTCATCTACAACTAAATAAATATTTTAAAAAAATGCCTAAGAGAAAATGCCTATGAAGAAACATAGGAACACTCAGAAACACTAATGGTTCTATTAGGGGTGGGCAAAACACACACACACACACACACACACACTTATAATATCATTACTATATTTTCTAAAGATTGTTATTTTGGATTACTTTTCAAAATAAATACTTAAAAGTATATTTTTAAAAATGTCCTTCCTTATGTTTGAAAAAAGTTATACATATTTTTGCAAAAAGAATGATAATGATATCTCATTTGCATCCTATAATCTACATCATCAACTTTATATGCAAACTAAATTTGCAATTCCATAAGGATTATACATCTTTTGCTTTTTTTGAAAACTATGTAGCAAAATGAAAAACACTATTTCTCATACAAAATGTAAAGTTTTAAAAGTAGAATATATGGGTCTGGGGGTATAGCTCAGTGGCAGGGCACTTGCCTAGCATAAGGCCCTGGGTTTGATTCCCAGTAGTGCAAATAAATAAAGAAAGGAAGGAAGGCTACAAGGTAATATATATATATATTATAATCATAGCAATGGAAATCCATGCAACAAAAAGGCTGCAATAAAATGTTCAAAAATGGTGATTGGATTATGGGTTTCTGGTTGGTTTTAAGATTTTTATCAGCTTAAAATATTGTATATTTTTTAATAGAAGGGGAATCAAATAATAAGCAACTTATCATTATATAATGTTTAGGTTGTTAAGAAAATTTGTTGGATATCTCATAGCTTTCATATGAGAATACAATCACAATGACTTATTCTCTGTCAATATAAAATTAAAAGTAATTTCTGAAAAATTGCAATGTACCTGATGTGTGTTGAGTGAAGGATTCTTTCTAGAGGTTCATGTTTATCACAACTATAGAGGAGTGATTTAGGATTGGTAATAAGAATCACAGGCCAGTTTCCAAAGATCAAATCTTCAAAGCTAAAAAGGTCATGATCAAAAGCAAAGATTCGATACCTGGAGAACAGAAGATAGGCAATTTAGTTACTTTATAAGAGGGCTTAAAGGTTATAGACAGACAAATGTCAAAATACAAAACCATGGTGTTTTTACATGATGAATTTGAGTACAAAGTAAATAACACTGTTTCTCTTTCTTCCTTTGCCTTTATCACTTTTCTTCGCATTTGTCACATCAAGTAGACTCTGATTGAAACAATGAATTTATGCCCTAAAACAATTCTTGGCACATAGCATGTACTCTTTAATTTTTAAATACTTGCAGAATTAATTCACTTTATTTTACATTATTTTAAGACTATTTTGAAGCTAAGACATTCATCATAAATCTAAGATCTGATATTCTTCATTCCATCAACAATGCTACATAAAATATTAAAGCATTGGATATAAATACAATAAGAAAAGTTGCATACGCCTTTAAACTTTTATTCCTATAATCCCAAAGAAATTAAAGTGAAGACATTTTGATTTTCCAAATGTACAATGAAAGGTATAAAATATTCATTAAAGAGTAACCCAAATTTTATATTCTCCTTCCCCTTACCCTACCCTCTCTCTCTCTCTCTCTGCTGGGGATCAAACCCAGGGCCTCACACATGCTAGAAATGTGCTCTACCACTGAGTTATATCCATAGCCCCTATATTTTCTTTTAGAACTTAAAAAAGAAATGATTAATTATGATATAAACAATAATGCTTACCAAATACTCTATGGTCCTCCTAGCATTTCGTAGTCTCTGTGTACTAGATTAGGATCATGTGACTAATCCTGGCCAATAGGCTATGAGTAGAAATGTCATGTAGCACACTCTGATCAAAGTTTGCTGTTTTTTTTTTTTAACACCTCTTTTCAGTTATAGATGGATATAATATCTTTTTAATTAATTAATTTATTTTTATGTGGTACTGAGGATTGAACACAGTACCTCACATGTGCTAGGCAAGCATTCTATCATTGAACCACAACACCAGCCCCCATACAAAGTTTTTTTGTTTGTTTGTTTTTTTAGTTGTAGTTGGACACAATACCTTTATTTCACTTATTTATTTTTATGTGATGCTGAGGATCGAATCCAGGGTCCCGCATGTGCGAGGCAAGTGCTCAACTACTGAGCCACAAACCCAGCCCCTGTGGCCCCCCCATCCAAAGTTTTTAAGAGCATATGTGAGTTCTCTGTTCTCTTCTCCACTCTGGAATTAACATGTTAAAATAGTGGTATTATGCTAGGAGAAGTGGAGAATGCCCAGCAGCTCAGGAGGCTGAGGCAGGAGGATCATGAGTTGAAAGCCAGCCTCAGCAAAAGTGAAGCACTAAGCAACTCAGTGAGACCCTGTCTCTAAAGTAAAATACAAAATAAGGCTGGGGATGTGGCTCAGTGGTCAAATGCCCCTGAGTTCAATCCCTGGTAACCCCCCCCCCCCACACACACACACACACACAAATAGTGGTCATATAAGATGGAGAAGTCAGAATTCCCAAGTCACCCCATGGAGGATAGTTGCCCTGACTCAGACTGGGTTTAGAGGAATGAAAAGTAAACATTATTGTGTTAGGCCATTGATATTTTTAAATTTGTTTTACATCCACAACAAGGCCTAACCTATACTACTAATATACTGTCAAAAAAATCTTCTACTGTAAATACAATTTAAATGTTATAAGAACAGTAAAGGTTAGGTTGTTTCAGGGTTGAAACAATGAAGACCAGATGGGAAGAAAAACAAAAGAAATGGCTTCAAATTTAACACTACAACTTGTAACTGTAGCATTTAGAAGAAATAAAAAAGCTGGCCAAGAGTCAAGAAGCCTATGTAACAAAAGGCAATGCCTGCTCAGCCTTCAGCTTCAGTCATGAGCACACAGGTCTTAGCCCAAAGTAATTACAGTTGCCAAGTAATAACAGGCTTAACTCAAAGTTTCTATAAAAACCAAACAAAATGAGGAAGCAGCTTCTAAAATGTAAAGCTGATTTTTCATTAATGAAAGTAGTTAGAAATAGGTAACATATTCAGTTCAAGAAATATTTGAATAAATGATAATGTTCTATACTTAAAGATATTTCACTTACATATCAAAAATAAATATTTAAATAAAATATATACTTCCAGTAAATAAGTTGTTTTCTATAATAGATATAAAACTAAAAATAACTATTTGAAGAATTGAAATTACTAATGTCTAGAAAAAAACTAGAGTGGTAGATATAAAATTCAAGAGGAAAAATGACATGTCTAGTTCTAGTGCTTCTCAAAGTATGATCTGTAGACAAGGACAGACCAACACAATTAAAATCTCTAGTGGTAGGGCCTGGAAATTTTTATTTTTAATAAACTCTATAATTTTTGTGTACACTGAAGTTTAAAACTACTTCCTAATGGATTCATCTTGAATCAATATGGCATAGTGATGGTAAATATCACTGCTACAACAAGGTTTTTGCATAATGACAAAGACTGCAAGTTATGTTACTTAAAAAAAAAAAAAGTATCACAATTTTTTCCTTAAGTGGTATAGCCTATCATATAATATGGATAAGTTTTGTTTTGTGAGGTAATTCCCTTACCTTCTATTATCTTTCCAGTCTCCTACCTCAAGTTCCAAAGTGCCCTGGAAGTGACGAGTGTGCAGAATAGGCATGAGTCCACCAAGTGTATGGAGGTGCCCACACAAATAAGCTGTAGCCGAACTAACCAATGAAAAATAAACAGAATAAGTGAACAAAAGTAAATTGGGATACCAAACTAATAAAGAATGTTTCTTCAGGAAAGCAAGATAGGTACAGCAACAATTAGTTTGGATTTTGGAAGCTTGTTTCACCTCATGATTGACCGGATTCCTGGTGATGGAGAAAGGATAGTGGATGTTGTAAAGTGTCCAAACCAAATTGTATGGTTGCTCTCTTTACTTTCCTTGGCCAATAATAAGAGTTCCTTCATCTGTTTCTGAAATGGAAGAAAAATAGAAGGATCTTCAGTTAGGACTCAGACAATTAGGACTGAAATCCAGTGTCATCAGGTTAAACAAGTCCTTAAGTTTTATAATTATAATTGCACAATATCTAGATCCTATATTCTACCAGGTAGGACCTGAATGGACCTCTGTAAGTTTTAAACTGTTTTCATGTATATTATAATTCACTTGATCCTAAAATAACTCTGTTATTGGTAGGGCAGGTATTATCCCCATTTGATAAACAAAAACAAACAAACAAAAAATAACAAGAAATAAAGAAATCACCACTATCTTCTAATTCTGTTAATTGGCCTAGTTACTTCTGGTACTGGTAATGAAGACATGGTAATAAATTAAAAACATATTGAAACTAAACTTTTAAAATATATACATATGTCCATAGAAATACTTGAAACTAAATGTGCATAACAGCTCTACTCATAATGGCCCCAAACTAGAAATCATCTACAAATTGTAATATATCCATAAAATGGAATATTATTCAGCAATAAAAAGAACTACTGATATATCCAAGAATATAGATGAAACCCAGCAACATCATACTAAGCATAAGAAGCCATATTGAAGAGTACATTCTGTATGATTTCATTTAGATAAATTTTTAGAGCAAATAAGACTAGTCTATAATGATAGAAAACCAGTTTAGTTCCACAGGGGCTGAAGACAGACAAGGAAACATTTTAGGATGATGGAAATGTTCTATGTCTTCATTATGGTCACAGTTATGCCAGTATACCCATTTGTCAAAACTCTTCAGACACTTAAAATGAGTACATTTTATTGTATGTAAATCATATCTCAGAAAATTGATTTTTAAAATGTGCACATACATAAGTATATATTATTATCTATAAAGTACTTAGAACAATACATTTTGGAGCGTTCTACTCAGGGTTTCTAACTTGGTAAGTCTGAGGTAAAAACCAGGGACTCTGTACTTAGCAATACTGCAGTTGATTTTCGTGCACCTGGTCCTTGAATTGTACCTTTAAAAACACTATCCTAGGACTGTAGCTCAGTGGCAGAGCGCTTTCCTAGCACATGTGGGGCACTGGGTTTGATCCTCAGAACCACATAAAAATAAACAAATAAAATAAAGGCATGTTGTCCATCTACAACTACAAAAAATAATTTATTTAAAAAAACCCACTATCCTGAGGAATATGACTTAATATAAGTTAATTAACTCTGAATAAAGATACTTGGTAGCTAGGAAACACAATAAAACTTAATTAAATAAAATGCCTAAAATAATAAATTATATTAGGCATTATTCTCTTCCCTTGATTCAAACTCCTTTGAACCCTCATATAACAAATCTCTTTCAGTACTTAGTAAATTCTGCTAATTGATCTAGTTACTTCTATATTGGTCTTATAACCCACCACTAAATTAAATACTCTAAGAAGTCAGGAACTTGATCTTGTCACCTTTATACTTTTACACATGGGCATATGTATCTTGCATAGGGACATATGCTCATTAAATAATAAACTGGCATTTGTTGTATCAAGAAATAATGAAAAGTTCTCATATATGACTTTACAGATGGTTGTAACCCAGCAATAGTTTTCACCTAGACTGTTTGAAACACTTTAAAAAGAAACTTACATAATTCAATAGTTGTCCTTCTCTTTTATTGGCCATTGTGAGGATTTAGCACTATGCCATATAGCACACAAAGATGTATGCCCTGTGCCTTGCAAAATACATTCTGCATTTTACATACTAAATAAATGTTCACCGAATAAACTGTGAGGTGCCTCTTTCCTGGGTTTTGGGATAAGAACAGGGATAGCAATAACAGCCCTGAAGTAGCCAGTAGCTCCTAGCCATACTTTTTGCCACAGTTAAATTTTTCTTGAACATTTCTAGGTAAGAACTTGCTTAGTTAGGACAACTTGAAAACCCACATGTATCTGTGAAAAAGTAAAAACACATAAGCTACTAAGAAAAATGAGAATTTTACTGTACCTCATCTAAAATTCCAAAGAAATTAAAAGGTCTCTTAGGCCCTGGATTTTGGGTAGCATCCACAGAGATGAAAGAGTAGTTGCCAAAGGGAGTATTGTGAACATAATGAAAAGAGCCATCCCTATGTACAGCAGAATACTTCCTAAAAAATATAAGACAGGGAAGTTTTAGTTCAATTTTTAAAAGAAGGAATTTAAATTCTGTCCCTAATACCACTGCAGATTTTGCTTCCCTTTGAAAAGGTATACTGATTTAACAGAGAAATAACTAAATGACAAATACAACAGATAAACTCATTAAAAGACATTTCAGAGTTTTTCTCTCATTGTTTCTAAGACTCATGCAAACTAAATCATCAATAAGCAAACAAGGTCTCCAAGTAAAGCAGAAAAGAAGACTATTTTAAGCAGTCCCCTAAATATTTAAAAATATCAGAATTCATTGAAATGGAACTTATCAATCATTTAAAAATTTAATGAAGGTCTACTAAGTATCTACCACTGAGCCACATCCCAGCCCTATTTTGTATTTTAATTAGAGACAGGGTCTCACTGAGTTGCTTAGCTCCTCACTGTTGCTGGGGCTGGCTTTGATCTAGAAATCCTCCTGCCTCAGCCTCCCCAGCTGCTAGGATTACAGGCGTGTGCCCTGTCCTTTCCTACATTTTTTGACACATTAAAATTCAACTGTCTAAAAAGAATACTATTTGATTGTAAGTTTTCTGTCGAAGGAACCGCTGAGCTAGAGCCAGTCCAAGAATACTATTTGAAAGCAGAGGTTAAAATATATGATGCTGACATTCTTTTTATTCTAAACTTCAGTATTTTCTGGGAGCATTCCTCAGAGCAAGATTTAATTTTAATATTATTTCTGATCCTCAGTTTGATATTTTTATAATACCTATATCTCTAGCAAAATGTTATTTATTAAATTCAGATAAAGTTTAGGTGTCTAGAACTAGATATATAAAAGTAAGAAACTTTTATGTGATTAATCACTACTTTCCCAATAATCACTCAGGCATCAAGTTCTATTAAGTCTTCACTGAAAATGTCTAATTCCATTCCCACAGTCACCATCAAAGATGCAGACAGTTTTAGGAAGCAAAATATTTTCATCTTTGTTCTTTTTCTTTTTCATATTAACAAAAGAGGACAATCTCCTGTTTTAGTTATATGGCAACTCTAATTTTATAAATTCAGTTAGTTAAACAATTATTTTTAACTTGTCATCTTTAAATTGATGTTACAATCCCCATATTCATGAATTTTGTTCAGATGGTTATGTTTCTACACACTTAAATCCTTTGCATTAAATGACTGATCTATTGCAGATATATATAACTCAAACACCACCCCCCCCCCTTTTTTTTTCTTTTTGAGACAGGGTCTTGCTAAGTTGCTTAGGACCTTGCTAAGTTGCTGAGGCTTGCAACTCATTGAATTAACTGTATCCTGCTTATAAGAGACTCTACATAGTTGTCTCTCTTCTGTTCGTTTGGGTACCTGTAATAATTCTTGACGCTCTCCAGACTTGGAATGTTGTATGCATCTAATTAAAAAGAAAAAAGCAAGTATTCATCTATACAAAAAAAGAAAAATGCAAACATGTTAATGACTAAACAAAGACAAGAATTCTTTCTACAATACTTAAAATGGCAGAATGGAACTCAATTAGACTGATAATTTTTTAAAATTGACAAATGAAGTAGGAAGATTGTAAGTTCAAGGCCAGCCTGGGAAGCTTGGCAAGACACTGCCTCAAAATAAAATTTTTTTAAAAGGCCTTAGATGTAGCTTAGGCGGTAGAGCACTTAACTAGCAGGGGTAAGGCCCTAGTACAAAAACAAAAAAACACAAACAACAACTTGATAGGATAAAAGATTATCTGAAAACTTTAAGGTATATAGTATTCTGGAGATTAATAGGTACTTTGAGAATAATAGGTATTTTTTTATTTATCAAAATAAATAAATTTGAAGTTATAAGATTGGGCTGTTGCTCTTATTTTAACTGTATGATTCTAGATGCAGTGGATTCATGCCTGATCTATATATGGGTCAGTGCCAAGTGCTTCTAAGCAGCAAATCACTTTTATATCAGGGACAAAGCCCCTTTCTTAAGACTTAAAAAAAAAAGAAGTTATCAAATGGTGAGGGCTAAGGTTAAGCATATCATAGAACACTCATCTGGAAACACATTTTTTTTCCATAGAGCTTAATTGCCTTGTTGCAGTAACTAAAATTATCAAATTTGATTTCCAGAAATCAACAATATTTCTAATAACCTTAGAGAACAAGCTATAAGTCCAATTTAGGCCAAAATAAATATTAACATGAATTCAGTCTTCTTGTTAAATAAGAGAACAACTGTATGTTACGGCTAAATCTCAATAAAAAACTAGCTTCCTTCCCTATTTTAACATATAGAAATATATATTCATACCATAAACATTTATGTCTTATAAATCAAATTACATTACTATGAAAGCCAAATGACTAATCAAATTATTTAATCACAAGTCTTTTTGACATGAATTACTTAAAATAAATAATTCAGTAGCTTGGCTTAGAAACATTTTAAAATATACATATTTACTACTTATTGAAAAATAATTTGACTTGGATCAGGAAAAAGGGAAAATGTAAACATACCAAAGAGAGTTGTAAGCCAAGTATCCTATTTCTAATTTTTAATTCCTAGCTGTTTTGAAAGAACTATTTATAATCAGCCATTTTCTGATCAAATCAATCGCTATGTATTTCACCAGGCAAAATTATCTGTTTAAAATGATAGTAAAAAAAAAATACATGAATAATCAAAGAAAGTGGACAAATGAAGTACTTAATTCTAATAAGAAAGTCAGCCTTTATAAAACAAACCTACTATCAGGACTCTTTTGGAGAAGAGTTCATTTCCTTATTAATGTAACAATGATAATCCAAAAAAGAGAAGGGATTTTCCATTTCTCTTCCATGTCTGTGGATATTTGCATTCAGTTTAATTTTTCTTGAAATTTTCATATAACAAAATTCATTCTTTGTGATGTATAGTTCTATGGGCTTGCCAAATACATAATCATGTATCCAAGAACACAATCAAAACACAGAACAGTCCTATCAACCCCCAAAATTCACTCATGATGCCTTTTTATAGTCAATATCACTCCCCATTCCCTTCCTGTCAACAATAGCCTGCTGTCTACAGTTTTGCCTTTTTCCTGCATGTGATATAAACAGAATCATACAGTATTAAGACTTATAGGCTTAGTTCTTTCACTTAACAAAATGTAGGGGGTTTTGTTGTTGTTGTTTTCTTTTTTGTTTGTTTTTTGTTACTAGGGATTGAACCCAAGGGTGCTCAACCACTGAGCCATATCCTCAGCCCTTTTTATTTTGAGATAGGGTCTCACCAAGTTGCTTAGGGCCTCACTAGGTTGCTGAAGCTGGCTTTGAACTTGCAATCCTCTTGCCTCAACTTTATTCTACCAAAAAGAAAATACCATACTAATTTTCATCTCAAAGGCTAACAGTGACATTTGAAGTTTAAAAATAACATATTATAACTGTGTTTTAGAGTTGTGGCCTTCAGTGTATCTAAATTTATGTTACAATTTCCCACTTTATAATTTTATAATATAAATGGAAGGATCTAGGTTCTTAAGAAATATATATCTAGTCTTTATTATATCTGGGTCTTGACTCTTACCATGATTTCCTTTGATATCCAGCCACTTGGTTTTTTCCATGACTCTTGTCTTCTTCAGAATACTCTGGTAAGTTTGCCATTCTACCTCCTGCTGCCTGGATCCCAACTGTTCCTTTGTTTTGGCATCTGTCAGGTCTCCTGTAGGTTTACACAAGAATTGAATCACAATGTAAAATAAACTCAAGAGAGTTCAATTTTTTAAAAAATTCACACAGAAGGAACAAAGATACTTAAAAGTACATAACATGAATAAGCTTAATAGGTGAGTCCACCTATGACCAAGCCATGATATCTAAACTAGAAGATTGTCTCAGCAAGAGCTTTGCTTATTAGAGGTTAATGAGTACCTATTTAACCTCCTGTGATGTGGAAAACAATGTATCTTTAAAGAGAGCAGTACAAAATGCATCAAAAGACTAACAAAATGAAAAACCTCTGTAAGAAATTCCAACAGTTTGGGAGGGGCCTAACATCTATTGCAACCATTTCCCACAACCCAAATCAGGGTATGTAATCTGACCAACTGTTATTTTTATAGCAAGAAGCAATCTGGAAAGTGTAGTTTGGACAATGACATACCAAAATTTCTAAGAAACTAAAAGAACACTTGAAATAGGGCCCATACGTTAACTGAGGACTAATGAAACTAAGATGTTTCAGTAAAGTGAGGGACAGATGAACCACCCAGTAAACAGGAGAGATGTTCCTTTAGCTTCTTCTCCAGACCACTTTGGGAATACCTGGTCAAATATTTAAAGAGTCTAGGAAATTCAAATCAAGGAAATATCAGTGGGGTGAAGAAAAAGTTCCTGGAGTCACTTGAAGCCTCAAATGATGAAAAATATCAAACTAACTTATGTGTGAAGAAAATGGAAAAATTAGCAAGAGAACTTCTGCTTAAAGAACTTCCTCTAATCCTCTCTCAAATTCAGCTGCAACGAAGAAAAAAACAAAAACAAAAAAAGCCAGACACAAACATAGCAGACAACAACACACTTACATGAGCATCACAAGCCTTCCTTCACGCCTTGACAAAAACCTTAATATGTCAAAGCATTTAGCCTGGACCTTGACTCTGTTATACATCAGCAAAGTAAATCACGAAGTCCCAACTCCTCTACCTCACAGAGCTCACCTGGGGTCATGGCTTGTGGATAGTGTTCCCAACGCCCCCAAAGTGAACAAGTGTAATCCTGGCTAGCATTCTGCCATCCGGACCACGAAACACCACCATAGCACGGCAATCCTCCCTACCTGTTGCTAAGACGAGAGCTGGTTGAATGATGTCAATAGTTTCAGAACAGAACTTCTCTAAGTCTACTGCTCTGCTTGGATCACGAAACCTGCTCACGTGAATGTCGGATATCTGCCAAAAGCAGGTATTGAACAGAGATAGACATCTGAGTCAGGAAGAGGCAGTATGGGCAGAGGCGGCCCAGTGGCTCTCTCGGGTAGAAGGAAAAGGCAGAGATACAGTGCATCAAAGATAACTTCCCACCCCCGGAAGGACTGGGCAGAGGCCAGCACTAGACAGATCCTCTAGTGACAACTTGACCGAGGCCTGCAGCCAGAGTTTGGTTCTAAACAGGTGCAGGTTGCTCTCCTAAAGGAACAGCAAGGGTCTTTCTGCACAGTTGCCGCTCAGCACCCACCGCCCGCCAGCCTCCCGCCGCGTCACCTGCAGGCCCCAGAAAATGTTGCTGTCTCCAGGGCCCGGCGCCGGGTGCGGCCTCTGAGGATTGCGGGGCTGGGGCAGTGAAGAGGACTGCCCAGTCAGGCCATAGTGCTCCAAAAGCAGGGCCGCCAGAGCCGCTGCCAACAGCCCCGCGAACACCTTTAAGGCCAGCGCTATTGCCATCCCGCCAGCCAGCTGGGGCGCAGCCTTCCCCGGTCCTGGGAAGCTCTGGGCGGCGCTCCTGCGCCCACCCCCACCCTCGCCACCGCCTGGCGCCGCTCTGTCCTCACTTCCGGACTCTATGGTCGCGGGGCCAGATCCTGATGTCCGTCCTAGGGCGCAGTGCTGGTCAGGTTATCCCTGCGCCTTCCCCTCTCTTGACGCGAGTGTTTCGGGTCTCCGTTTGCAAATGTAATGCGGGGAAAGAAAAGGAAACTGATATCCTCAACGCTAGGGCAGTGCCGTGTGGTGGCAGGGAAGCCGCCTTGAGCCTGAAGCTGGGAGGCGGGGACTGGAATCCTCGCTCCACATTGGTCAATCATTCGTGATCTCGGTAGCTGGTCACCTTACTTGTAAACCGGAGTTAATGATACCTCCCGCGCGTACTTCTCTGGGTTGTTGTGAAAATCAAAGTAAGTATGTATGAGGACGCCTTTTAAATTGCTGTGTAGTGCGACAGAGGTGACCATCTCTGGTCCCTTCTGATGAACATGACCCCAGAGGCTTTCTATAGGTATAATTTGTATGTTTTGTTAAAGTTATTTTTTCCTTAACCTGATGTCATATGTGCTTGATCACATAATGTTGCAAACAATGATATGCCCCTCATCTAATATTAAATACTTCCTATGAGCCAGGCAAGTATGAAGTAAATTCTGGGCCTGGCCTTAATTTATCTAACCACTCCCTTGTACTTGAGGCATTGGATAGTTTATGTGTTGTTGGTCTGAATAAACATTTTTATACAAATAGCCCTTAAAAAAAAAACAAAAAACAAAAAAAAAAACCCTCTTTGAGTTATTGGGATGTAGTGCCAGTATTGGCTTTCTGCCAATTTCAATTCATTGAGTTCTTTTTGAGTACTTTTGGAATGCAAGACATTGATCTAAACAGAAATTATAAGAATAATAAGTAATTAAAGAGCCATGAGCCTTTTTTTTTCTTATGAACTTGTCTAGGACATAAATACACAAGTACATTTAATGTAAGAATATGTTATTTGCCACAAGAGACAGCCAGATTTAAAAGTCTAGGGGAAGGTAAAAACTGGGAGATTGTACTTTTGGGAAGAATCAAGAAATGTTTAATTAAGGAGGTGGCATATGAAAGAGGGAAGTATTTCTGACTGATGGAGATTGGGGTTGGGATGAGAAGCACTTTCTTCCAAGACCTAACAATATCAATCAAAGTATTAAGGTGAGAAAATGCAAGACATGTTGAGGAAACAACTTCAGTTTGGCAGGGCCTGCATTATGCCTGGAGGAATAGGTAATTAGAACACAGACTCTTGACTTGAGCCTTGTGGAAGGCCTTTATAAATGTCATGAGTGAAAACAACAGAGATCTGCTTTGGCAAAATAGATATGGCAACGGCATTGAGAACTTACTAGCGAAGACTGCAATAATGCAGGCAGTAGGTTATTACGAAGACCTAAGAAAGAAGATGGGAGAATGTAACACTGAGTTTAGAAAAAATGGATCAGATGTAAAAGTTATTGTAAAGATTGAAACTACAGAACTTAACTGTGCATTCTGGAGGAAATAAAAGAGTTCCTAGAGCCTGGCACCCTGGTAAATACCTGTAGTTCTAGCTATTTAGGAGGTTGATGCACAAGGATTGCTTGTGTTTGGGAGTTCAACGCCAGCCTAGGCAACACAGCAAGACACTGTTCAAAACAAACAAACAAAACAAAAAACCCTAAACTTAAAAGTCAAAAACAAAGAATGGGACCAGGGCTTTTTAAAACCAAATTTGGAAGATATAATTGAAATGATGTGATTTAAAATGCTGGCAGTGTACATAAAATACATTTGGAAAGGCCCTAAAGGAACCTCACAGATACAGAAAATTATTTAGCAGAAATGGAATACAAGATTCTGTGTGACAGCAAATAGAAAGAAATGTGCCATTAAGGGATCCTGGACAGAAACAGTTTAAAGTCACTAAGGCCAATAGTCTAAATTTCAGATACTGAACTACAACCAAGCCATTTTCCCCATAGTAATCAAAGTGCATAGGAACAGGATTTTATTTACTTAATGATGATTAATGATTCTCTAGGGAAATACTGGTTTGACCAGCTAATCACTACAATTCAGTATAAAAAGTGGTTCTTAGTTCCTGACAAAGCAGAAAGGTAAATAGATCATTATTATCTCATAATAAAAAAAGAAGGCAGCAATTCACCACTGGAGTGGACTTACCTAGAACTAAAGTCAAGGGAGAATGTATAACTTGGACCTTAAACAATATAGTGTATAATATCATCAACAACCATAAGTTGAATTGACTCATACATAAGATATAGAAATTGTCTATGAAATAGACAAATATATGAAATCACCATTTCATATATTGACCTTATTAAAAATAAAAAATATCTAGTAATAAATGATTGTTTTGTGAAGTTGTTTACATAAAGAGGTAAAGTAATCAAAACAGGTAGTTTTTTTTGTTTGTTTGTTTTTTTTTATGTGTATGTAAGTATTTTTTTGGGTGGGGGTACCGGGGATTGAACTCATGGGCACTCAGCCACTGAGCACATCCCCAGCCTTATTTTGTATTTTATTTAGAGACTGGGTCTCACTGAGTTGCTTATTGCCTCGACGTGCTGAGGCTGGCTTCGAACTCGAGATCTTCTTGTCTCAGCCTCCTGAGTCACTGGGATTACCAGCATGGGTCACTGCACCCGGCTTGTATGTAAACATTTAAAAATTTACTTCAAAAATTTGGTGAATTTACCTTCTTAACCATTTTTAAGTATACCTTCAGGGCCATTAAGTACATTTATATTATGCAACCATCACCACCATCCATCTTCACAGCTCTTTTCATCATCCTATCTGAAATTCTGTACCCATTAAACATAAACTCCCCAGTCTCCCAATCTCCCCAGACCCTGGCAACCACCATTCCATTTTTTTTTTTTAACCCAGCTTTCTCCCACAAGGAAAATAACCTTAAAATAACTGTTTTCACTAAACAAGTACTATTGCATCTATTTTTTTAATTAATTCATTTATTTTAATTAAGTTTATATGACAGCAGGATGCATTTTGATTCATTGTACACAATTGCAGCACAACTTTTCATTTCTCTGGTTGTACACTATGTAGCATCGCACTATACCATTCTACTTTCTGTCTCTGTGAATTTGACTACTGAGAATCAATGTGATTTGTGGAATCATACATTTTGTCCTTTTGTATCTTGCTCATTTCATTCAATCAGACATCCTCAAAGTTCATTCAGGATGTAGCATGTGTCAAAATCTTACTTTTTAAGACTGAATCATGTTCCCTTGTGTGTATATACAATGTATGTTTATCCATTCATCTGTTGATGGACACCTGGATTGTTTCCACCTTTTTGCTATTGTAGGTCATTTGTTTTTGCTTTTTGTGGTGCTAAGGATCAAATGCAGGGCCTCATCAATGCTACACAAGCACTCAACCAGTAAGCTGCAAACTCAGCCTATTGTAAGCCATTGGTAAGTTATGGTTCAAAGAGAATATGTCCATATAACCACTATGGACTGTAACCAGTATGAATTGAGTCAAGGCAAGTTTGGATAATATCAAATACATTCTTTACATCCTCTTTAAATGTGTGTGACAGACGGAGAAACAATCATAAAGGTTGTTAGCTTTCACATTCCTGAGATATACATGCCATTCTACCACCCTGCAAAGACATGGATCCACAAGTCAAAACAAGAAGACTAATGCCCTTACCAAAAATTAGAAAAAGCACCAAACTCAGCAATTTAAACTAAACTACCAGAAAAAAATTTTGGTCACTTTTTTTTAAGTGTTTAAAAGTTAAACTAGTGGTAGATATACCGGTATTCATTTTTATTGTTATTCTTGTTACATGAAATCATTATTTATAAAATATTTAGCACAACATTCTTATGAACAATTTAATAAAAAAACATATATAGTCTATTTTATCTATTAAAATAGAAGAATAGGGCTGGGGATATAGCTAAGTGAAGCACTTGACTAGCATGTGTAAGTACCTGGACTCTTATGTCCAGCACTGCAAAAATAAAAAAAAAAGGGGGGGGGGATATCAAAATGTACCATTCTCTTTGACTTGTTACTTTTACTTATCCTAAGGAAAAATATGGATAAGTATGCTCCCATGAACCTACTTACCAATAAGTAAGTTCATGAGAACAAAATTTATTTAGGTCTGGGGATATAACTTAGTGTTGAAAGCTTGCTCAGTATGTGCAAGGCCCTAGGTGCTCAGTATGTGCAAGGCCCCAGCACCACCACCAAAAAAAAAAAAAAAAAAAAAGAAAAAAAGAAAATTGGAAATAAACTATAGTAAATGTTCCACAGTAGAAGTTTTTAAAATGGCATACACATAGAAGGGAATACCATGCAGTAACCTTAAAATAATTTTGAAGAAAAATATTAAAGACATGGAAATGTTAATAACAGGCTAATACATATTTTGTAAAAGTATATAGCATAATACACAGACCTTCTAGGCCAAGGGACTAACCTATGTAAACAGAGGTGCAAGACTCTATGGTATGTTTGTGTTTGGAAAATAAATGTGGGTGAAGTTTAAGGTCAGGGATAATAAGGAGGCTTATACTGGCAAAAATCATTTCAGGTCAGATTGAGAAGGGCTTTGGACGCCATGTTCAGATGTTAAATTTTAATCTAGGGCAGTTGTCCAATGTATGTAGGTATAAGAGAGTCAAATGACCAGATTTATTTTTAAGAGTTAATTCTGGGGCTGGGTTTGTAGCTCAGTAGTGGAGCACTTGTCTACTGGATTCAATCCTCAGCACCACATAGAAATAAACAAGTAAAATAAAGCTATTGTGTTCATCTACAGTTAAAAACACTAATCAATGGAAATTTTTTAAAAAGAGTAATTCTAGCAGAATAGTGGATTAATTTGAGCAAGAGAATGAAAAGAGAGAGACCAATTAGGAAGGCTGCTCTTCTCTTATCTGGATAAATAATATTAAAGATTTATTTTTGGTGGGTTATGTGATTGAACTGAGTCTCACACATGCTTAAGCTCTATCTACCATTAAGCCATACCCCCCAGCTCAATTTGGAAATTTTAAAAGCTCCTTGGCAATCCTAATGTACAGCCAGAGTTGAAAACTACAGGAACAATTTAAAAAATGAAGATTCTAAGTAAAACATTTCTAAA